GTTTTCAGATTTCAAAGAGTAAAGACCCAATCAACCCTAAGTATATTGTAAAACAAAATGTTGAAATTCCCAGAGTCATGACGACACGGCCCAATCCTCTCCAATTCCATATATTTGCATATTATATAGTTCATCTATGGTTAAACAATTAAATACCCCAAATGCTTACTTCTAATTCACTAAAATGAACGAAAATCACTTAATTCAGTTATTTCTCACACAACAGTGTTACATACCGTTTAAAATGTACACAATAATACTTATTCGTTCAGATTCATTATTGAGTTATGTCTAACAGCATGTCACTAGAACAAGGATGTTTGTTGTCGAGACAACGCCTAGAAAGAGTAAGAGTCACGGTAACAGAAAAACTTTACCCAAACAACAAAACAATTCTGGCCACATTGTGTCTTTTGCATACGCTCACATATATCAAGATGAAAGCTTGCATACATATAGATCAAACTTTTCATGCTATTCAGACAAAAAGTTCAAAGGTCAATGACTGCTCTGTTCTGAACAGTACAAAAAGTCATCACATGAAAAGACTTGCAAGATGAAGTGAAGGTCAAGGTCATGTCTATAAATAACCATCAAACACTTAAATTTCAAAGTCACAAGTCCTTGATTATGTAGGTTATTTTTCCAAATTTTAAATAACTCAAGAATCTGAAAAGTCAACAAAGGATAGTCTAATGATCTAGGGTCTACAAATGGTACAAAAAGTGTCTCTGATTGTTAATACAAGGCTGCTAACCGACTACACAAACTATATACACAGGTCTATTGTTAAAAGTATACTGACCACCGGTCATTTTAACCACAAACTTTACAAACATTAGATTGACAATTGTGACTCAGAGAATTGCAATCTGTGTATAATATATATTAAATCTGACCTTTGTGTTACCTCACTGTATTACAGAGATCAAGATCTACAAAACAAACTAAGAAATATTTATGTTTACCTGGGGTGAGTCCTGATATGGAGGCTTATTTGTAACCAGATCAATACTTAAAAAATCTACCTGTACATAACTAATAGATCGAACCTATATAAAGATTTACCTGTACATACCTAATAGATCAAACCTATGTGAACACTTACCTGTACATACCTAATAGACCGAACCTATATGAAGATTTACCTGTACATACCTAATAGATCAAACCTATGTGAACATTTACCTGTACATACCTAATAGATCGAACCTATATGAAGATTTACCTGTACATACCTAATAGATCAAACCTATGTGAACATTTACCTGTACAAACCTATACATAAATGATCTATTGTCTCATAGATAAAATCTATAAGTAAGATCTACCTGTACCTGGTGTGTATACCTGAGATTTTACCCATTAAGATCTACCTGTACCTGATGCGTGTACCTGAGATTTTACCCATTAAGACCTACCTGTACCTGATGTGTGTACCTGAGATTTTACCCATTAAGACCTACCTGTACCTGGTGTGTATACCTGAGATTTTACCCATTAAGACCTACCTGTACCTGATGCGTGTACCTGAGATTTTACCCATTAAGACCTACCTGTACCTGATGTGTATAAACATATTTTGACTAGGTCTACATGTAATTATCAATACAGGACATTATAATCGTAACTTTTATTGTTTTAACCATAACTTTAATGCTTAACTATATAGTGTCTCATAAGCCGATATCAGCTGGGTATCACTTTTATTAATAACTGTTCAATATTGTTTTTATTACTATGTACTGTGATATGTGACACTCAAATAAAACATATTGATTGATTGATTGATTGTATACCTGAGATTTTACCCATGAAGACCTGCGTGTACCTGAGATTTTACCCATTAAGACCTACCTGTACCTGATGTGTATACCCGAGATTTTACCCATTAAGATCTATTTAACATCCTGTTCTGTTGATGTCTTTGACTTAACAGTAAATAACCTTGACCATTTATAAGTTGTAGATGTATAGATTCTTTTGTTCACACCCACCAGGTAGTGAGACAGTCTGTCAATATTACATTCCATGTATGAATAATGAAATCCTACGAAAGTCACACAGGAAATAACATGAGCAATACCACAGTATACTGATAAGATTTCAACAATTGATTATAATCTACATTTCTGAGAAACTAAGGAACCAAAATTTGTTTAATTAATTAATTTGGAATGAAATTAAATAACAGACGATGAACATGACAATAACAATATATACTATAAACTGTACATTATCCCTCTGCAGCGGTAGATTTAGATTCTAATTATCAAATGAGCGAACAATTTTCCAGCTCAAAGTGTTAAATAACTGTTTGTAAAACTTTTATCAATTATTCTCTATAGAATGCAATTTCTAGGTATAAATGTGCAAATTCTTAGCAGTAAGATATAAAGAGGTATCTGTTTTGCCAAATTTACTCTACCGAAGCTGACAGCCCAATAAGCAAATCGTTTAACAATTCAACCTCCAATATAAAGTTGAGATGTGAAATAATCAACACTACCTTCCTGTCATGGTTTACATTTTATCTGGAAGCCGTGAAATAGACCAGTCTTTGCTGAGGTGGTTGCTGCAGCAAAGACTTGTCACTTGATCCTAATTGGTTAGAATGACATGTGACAGGCCTTCCAGATGTTGTTCAGTGAGGTAACCACAAAGTGACCCCACCTCAGAATGACCTTGACTGTTGACACTGATCAATAACCCCAGTAAAGAAACAGAAAGCTCTATTATTCCTCTATAAAATACATCACAATTACAACGATAACGAGCTCTGCGATGTTGATCAACAATATTTTCTGAAGCTTTGGTATCAAATATTTCAAAATGTGTTTGAAAATCTCTGATAAACCTAACATTCAAAGCCGTCTGGGTTTGAAATCAACATGTATGCAGCGCGGAAACGTCTATTGAAAACTTGACAGATTTATGAAATCTGTTGTAAGTTCAATGAAACTTTTGGACCAATACAAACCTGTTATCAGCACTTCTGAGGAACAGGTATTTCAAAACATGGAATTCTATATCTCAATACAGGTGTGAATACACAGAAGTTTCATAACACAACACTTTTAATTCAATATCCCTGATCAATAACAAATAAACAAACACTGTTTCAAGTCTAAAGCTCTGAGTTTGACTTTTATTGATTTCCAATGACCTCTGACCTTCATTTGAATAGCCTCAGGGATAGCTATGAATAACCAAAGAGAAATCAATTTAGTATTGTCAGGCAAAATAAATAATATTTGTTGAATCAATTTTCAAATAATGTATCTTTCATAAATATAATAAAAAGCCCCTTTATGTATTGTCCTTGTATTTCTGTACAAACTAAATTGTTGGCTTGATTATCCACAAGTTAATTATTATTGCTAACCAAGGACACCAGAATTTGTAATTAAGAATTATTAGAAAGGGTGAAAACCTCATTCAAACATCATCTTATTAGGAAGACATTTTCCTAAAAGAGTAAAATTGGTGGTAACAAGACACTTTAAATTAACAAGACCTTAAAATTATTTCCTTGAAGAGGATTCTTCATGTTAATGAGGATCCTGATCATTAATATGACAAGTGTTATGAACGAACCTGCCTGAAATAGTTCTTGGTAATGACACCTCTTGTAAATGGTGTCATGCCTAGAATGACATCTGCCTTCAAGGAACACTTGGAAATTCTTGCCTTCTTTTGAATTTAAATTTAATTAAAAAGTTATATTTTTTTTCTTAAAGACTGTATTATCGCCAATTTTTCAACTAATATTTAACTAATGAGCAAATATTTGTATACCCGATGCATAAAACATGTTTTTGTTTTGATGACAGTACATGAAAACACTCTTCAGTTCACAAATCAATATTTTTTTCATTCCAAATCATGTCAGCAAATAATATGTACTTACCTCAACTATTGAAAAATATCACAAAAGCTTGGATCACAAATGCCCATAACAAATCCAATTTACCGTCATCTATCACCACATAACAATATCGACTGTCATAAATTGTCCACCTATTATAGCAAGAACACAAAATCTTGTACTACAGTTTCAACTTAGGAACAATTACTACTCCACACATCTGCAGTTTCTATTATCCTAGTAACTGGTCACTGTACGTATAGGTATATATACATTCCAGTCCAATAGGAAACCTGAAGTGAAATTACAGCCATATTTAGATAGAGACGACTGTAAACACAAAGCTTATATAGCCTCTAGCTAGCTGTATAGAGCCTATTTAGCCGAGCAATACAACGAGCTGTTTATCATGAACACACTGGTCTTATGAAGTTATATCTATATATTTATCACTGTCTTCAGGTATAAATATCGTTGCCTACCTGAGCGAAATGATTACAATCCAACTGAAAACTAGGAAATTCCTATTTAATTAACCTGGTGTCAGGTTTCAGTTGATGTGTTCATTTGAAATTCATCCCTATACACTTGACGCTGTGTGTCGCCCGCGGTGTGGCTCCATATCTACCTGGTCCAGGAGACTGAACGAGGTTGTTGTGGCGACTGACGGGAAATGCTTCACGCTTATTGACTCCTCATTTTTATACATTTGAATTCTCCTTTGAGTGGAGGTGAAAACATTTACAGATATCACACCTTCACTTTCCTGGTATGAAACACTTTAAATACCTAGGAGACCCATCAATATGTAAGTGAGGTAGTGTTGTCACTGTTTTATATAGACTTCGTTGCATTTACATCTGCGTAAGAAAACTCGTTAGCAGCAATCACCTGATAAAATTCTACATTTTAGATGTTTTAAAGTCTCTAAAACAACAAATTAACAGAGATATATTTGCCTTCTTAAGAAATTATCAAAACCTTTCCTATCTCTAAAACTCCATCTACCTCATCTAGCTGCCATCAACCTCAACTCCTAGCTATCTCATCTGTCTACTATAACTCCCATTCACCTAAACTTCTACCACTTCAACTCCATCCTTCTAAACTCCAATCCACTTCCAACTCCTACCACTTCCACTTCAACTCCATCCTTCTAAACTCCAATCCACTTCCAACTCCTACCACTTCAACTCCCATCCATCTAAACTCCAATCCACTTCCAACTCCTACCACTTCAACTCCCATCCATCTAAACTCCAATCCACTTCCAACTCCTACCACTTCAACTCCCATCCATGTAAACTCCAATCCACTTCCAACTCCTACCACTTTAACTCCCATCCATCTAAACTCCAATCCACTTCCAACTCCTACCACTTCAACTCCCATCCATCTAAACTCCAATCCACTTCCAACTCCTACCACTTCAACTCCCATCCATCTAAACTCCAATCCACTTCCAACTCCTACCACTTCACCTCCCATCCATCTAAACTCCAATCCACTTCCAACTCCTACCACTTCAACTCCATCCTTCTAAACTCCAATCCACTTCCAACTCCTACCACTTCAACTCCCATCCATCTAAACTCCAATCCACTTCCAACTCCTACCACTTCACCTCCCATCCATCTAAACTCCAATCCACTTCCAACTCCTACCACTTCAACTCCATCCTTCTAAACTCCAATCCACTTCCAACTCCTACCACTTCAACTCCCATCCATCTAAACTCCAATCCACTTCCAACTCCTACCACTTCAACTCCCATCCATCTAAACTCCACTCCACTTCCAACTCCTACCACTTCAACTCCCATCCATCTAAACTCCAATCCACTTCCAACTCCTACCACTTCAACTCCCATCCATCTAAACTCCAATCCACTTCTATCTATCCACTTCCAACTCCTATTCACCTCAACTTCTATATCCAACACAACTATTATTTGTTTCAGCTCCTATCCATTTCAAGTATTATAGTCAATGTGCACCTTTCCAAACGCTTTTTTGCCTAAACTGGCACCCATCACAACTCCAATCTATCTACTGTATATCCAGCTGTAGCCCTATGCCTGGTATTAAGCCCACCTACATATACTAATTTCAAGAGTCAGTGAGCCCCATAAAGGCAAGAGGGAAGGGAGATCACTCTGTCTCTGTCATTTGGTTATGGCTCACATGACGTCAGAGAGGGCACGATGTTTGAATCTTTTCATTTTTTTGGGCTAAAAAAATGGGTACAGTTACTGTATTTGCATACTAAAGTTATGGTAAGTATTACATATTGAAAACAAACTCAAATTTCATGGTATTCTGATAAGCCCACACACCCTGACTTGGAGTGAGAGGACATGTTTGACATCCTGGTATTATTGAAGGATAACTACGGTAACAAGTCTGCCAACCATCCACCCATTAACTCATCCAAACTCATCATTCTCTCACATCCACCTCACAATCTTTTCCACTACATCAGCCAAACTATGCATATTCCTTTTTATTCAAAATAGCCACACCTACAATACCTCGTTTATGACGAAACTGACACTGGGTATCACCTGTAAATTTACCATAATCATGTTTCATTGTAAAGTAACAATCTGGACTGACCAATGTCCGTCATTCAGGCATTCCTGCCAATAGAAATCTAGGTGGATTATAACCACAGGTGTATGTATACAATTTCATTCATTGTCCACAAATATCTCTCCTCTAGTCAGGTAGAACATTAAATGAAGCTCCAATTCACTGTTTGATGTTTTCATTTCATTATAAATACCATGTAAATTTACTTTTATTGACAGCTGAAGGGATCACATGTTTCCAAAATTTGAAATTTCTTCATCGATCTATCCTTAAGAAAAACGACTTCAGCAATACATTCTTGAAGAATGTCAATAGTTAGCAAGTCATCATTATGATAAACCCGTCCTTAGTTCAAACATATCTTAATAAATAGCTTGTTTGTCTACGATTTTCACACCTAACAAGGGTCATATAAAGACCGTGTCCAGTGACGATGAGGCAGAAAAAAGGAAGAATGACCAAGTTTAAATTTTAGTAGGACAGCTAAGTGAAGTGTTTGGTTTTTCCCTGTTTCTTGTAAGCAGACATGACATAGAAAAATTTAATGCATTGATCTGTTGGAGGCCTTAAACATAAATCATATTACCCAAGACCATATTCACCTGAACCCACGCTGATTTGGAATTAAAAGTTTACTAACCGACATCAAATTTTTCAAAAAAAAAAGAAAATGTACCGAAGAACAGTACAAAAATGTAGCCACAAACCAGTTGTGGCTTTCCTTCTCCACCTCTCACTCTCTTTTCACGCACATCCATTTCAAGTTTTTGCTATATAATATGCAAAGTCAAACCAGAGAGAAAACTACTGTAACCTTGCCAACAGAGACAAAATACATAACTGTAGATAAATTTGTACCTATATATGCATGTTTACATGTAAGTAAAAACAAAGATCAGATTACCTGTACTTATTGTAATAAGATCATAACAAGTCACTGCATAAAAGATCAAACCGATGTTTTCTATAGAAACATTGTAATTCAAATCGTACAACTGATTTGTAAATTCATTGATAAAATGGAAACTACATTGTAGAATTTATTCTGGATTTTGACATCTATGGAAAAAATGTTAAAACATCATCAGCATTTGCCATTCAAGGTCATCAAACAGACTCAGAAGACATACCAAACAGATGTTGTGGATATATATATAGTACAGAGGTCATGCAGTAGTGTTAAGTACCAGATACAGCCACACCCATCATAGCCAATAACTGTGTTATGGTGTCTATGTCCAATCACAAAATCATCATTAGCAGGAGAGCAGTATGGGGATGGAGTGTGGTCACAAGTTTATTAAGTAAGCCAGATCTGTGAAGGAATGTCAGGCGACTGTCTATCTATACGTGAAATTCTGTCACGTTATGTATATATAATTATCTATAACAATGTCCTATTTATATACAATTCTTACCGTTATAAAAAATCATTAACTATAAAATGGCATACATTTACTTTTTATAAACCAACATTCTCTCAGGGCTAATATCCTGAATATTAATTAATTATGCACATGTGTATACAATTAAGTTTTTTTTGGTGTACATATTTGGCATAAATCTTTCGTTGACTAGCGTAATCTAAAGAGTGTTAATTATGATGCTCTTGAATAAATTGATATATCTTATATGCCACAGGCTAACAAAAAACCTAAAATTTATAGTATGATATAAATATAACGGTTGAGAAGTTTAGAAGAGGTGTATTCATTTTTTTGTTTCTCTATCACAGAGCAATATTTAACACACCTTGAAACATTTATTTCATCTCTTTTACCTTGGTAAGTTTTTTGTCTTTTTCATCTTGTCGTTAAAGGGAAAATAAAAGATTAGAAAGGACTGTATATTGTATGCATCCTCCAATAAGCCCAGGGGGGCATTACATTAATTTTCACTCAATGACTAGGGGTGGGCTTATTACAGGACATTTATCAAAGAGCATTGGTATATAATTGTACTAAACAGCAATATATATGGGTGGGCTTATTACAATGACATTTATATAATTGTACAAACAGCAATATATATGGATTGGTATATAATAATTGTACTAAACATATATATGATATATATGGGTGCAATATATATGGCTTATTACAATGACATTTATCAAATAGCATTGGAATATAATTGTACTAAACAGTAATATGTATAGGTAGGCTTATTACAGGACAATGAAATAGCATTGGTTAATAATTCTACTAAACAGATATACATATGGGTGGGCTTATTACAGGACAATAACTTTATCACTGCCAGATATAGATCTGGTATTAGAACTAGTCATCGACATAAAGAGGAGCATAACATTGTCTGGGTTGGGTAAATACAGTATACTCATGTTCCTGTGTAGGAAGGCACTTAAGATAAATGGCTGGAAATGCAGACCATAACAAACAGAAAAACTATATACATGTACAACTTGGACCAGACAAACACATAGTATTAATGCTGACACTGTAAATGTAGGGGTCAGGTTTGAGTTGCTAACTCCATTTCTAGTAAAGTAGCTGAAGTATACTGCCTCATGATAAAAACCCACAGAGATATTTCTACAATGAAGTTCTGACGAAAGTTTTAAAAGTTTTTAGATATCACTGTTTGAGAGTAAGCATGGCGCTAGTTCTACAAACTAGGGTCTGTCACGTTGATTAATGACTCCATATCATTTCCGACATGCAGTGATGATGGAGGATACATTTCTCACATCTCTTATGGCTGGTTAGCGGTTGTCATATCCAGACATTAACAAAAGAAAGACTTTGTTGGAAGCTTTTCTGATCTTCAGCGGCAAAGACTATTCCATCAAAGAACAGCACCAGCTTCCAAAAGACATCTATCCAACTGCAGGTTGTTTGATATAGTTCACATAAAATCACCAAACAATATAAGTTTGATTATGATAATCAATACTTCACTATAGCTTGTGTTAGTATAAACTTAACTCAGACTAATGTTTTAGATGCTCGTTTGGAGATTAAGTATACAAGTGCCCACATCACTGAGGTTTAGTTCCATGCTTTTCTGAACACACACACACAAGGGTTCAAACAGTGTCATTGAAAATGTATATAGTCTTTACCAAAATAATTGGTAAATCGAAGGTGTACCAGGGTGGCACTGAACAGTAGCAGGGTGGCACTGAACAGAACGAGGGTGACATTTAGTGTTTTACTATGGTGACATTGAGTGGAGAATTGTGGTGACATTGAGTGGTGTACCATGGTGACATTGGCAGGTGTAACATGGTGACATTGTGGGTGTAACATGGTGATATGATATTGTGGGTGTAACATGGTGATATGATATTGTGGGTGTAACATGGTGATATGATATTGTGGGTGTAACATGGCGATATTGTGGGTGTAACATGGTGACATTATGGGTGTAACATGGTGACATTGTGGGTGTACCATGGTGTGATATTTTGGGTGTAACATGGTGACATTGTGTGTGTACCATGGTGACATTGGCAGGTGTAACATGGTGATATTGTGGGTGTAACATGGTGCGATATTGTGGGTGTAACATTGTGATACTGTGGGTGTAACATGGCGATATTATGACATGTCTCATATCATGGTTACATTGAGGTTTGCACCTAATGGAAACTACATTGAATTGTGACCTATCCATAGGAAAAAAATATTGTAAATAAACTCCAGGTTGTACCCACCATGTAGATATATTTGAGTTGTCAGTATATTAAGTAAACAATAAATATGTGGTTCACTGTCGGAGGTATGACAACTGAATCCACCTTTCGTCAGCATCTTTGGGTGCCTGATCTCTTACTGATGTAATTAAGATATTAACTTACAAACAACAAATACACAGGTAAAAATGACATTTTATAACTACAGGTATGGAGTTACACAACCATGACATGATAAA